TTCACTGGAATTGTCTTTCAACTCGCAAGTCGGCAAAAGACACTCTGAAACAGGGAATTGCAAGAAGTCAATTTTGTATGGGAATCAATGAACCGTTGAGCAATATTTTCAATATTTTTGTACAATTAGACTATTAGATTATTGTGCAATAATCGAAAACGCTATTAAAAAATACGACACAGCCTTTATTCCAGAGAAAAATGGAGGAAAGTAGATTTCCTTTCCGGACACATTTTTAGCAGAGAAATTCAAGATTTTTGTGTTTAAAAGCATTTGGGGGTAATAAATAAATATTTTCTGGCGTTTTTCGTCTTCTATGACACTGAAAACCATGAAAAAATGGAAATAATCGAGTTTTGATCACGTAATTTGAACGTCTTGCAATCTCCTGTCCTGAAATGTGTCTAAAGACGCAAAATTTCCGCCTCACCAGAGATTTCATTCACCAAAAACACGAATGCGCAAAAGTGTGTTAAAATGCCCAGTTTTGCATCGAATCACGCTCTGCTCCTCTTGTCCTTTCCCGCACAGATTCCCAGGATGAGACGTCATCATCGTCGGAGAATTCGCCGTCGAACATATCAACCAGGAAGGTGAAGCCACCCTATGTGGCACGGAAGGGCGCCAAAGCCACGCAGAATCTGCCAAAGAGACACGTTCGCAGCTCCAGCGGCTACTCGAGTCACAACGAAGAGACGACATTCAGGTGAGCGGCAAAAGACGACAAATTGGATAAATTCTCCCCCCGCAGAAACCACCCACTTCCCCCAAAAACACCACCCCCACAAAACACCACGGAAAAAGTGGCCCCGATTGAAGATTCTTTTCTCTTCTTGTTCAAGCATCAAAAGAACTTCACACCTTAATCCTCACGATCTCTCTGCTCACGATGAGCTCTTTAGATTCTGAATGTAAGTCAATGGCAATATTTTGCACTCAAGCACACCCACTTTTGTCACATCTTTGTCTCATAATACTCTGTCAATGTCTCAAAAACTGCACACGCGAACGCGACCAAGAGAATGCTCGGAATTCACCGCGTATTTTTTGTGGAATTTCCTAAAGTAATTGCTTCTAGGGTTTATTCAATAACGATAACTTATTTGAGTTTGCCCTCGAGAGAAGAAGTGCTCTCAATCATGCACACTCTTCAATAGTTTATTTTTCTCTAGATATATATATTGCATGGAATTTCAAGGAGTGGCGCAATTGAACTGAAAATCAAGAGGGAGATTTTGTGGTTTAGTTTGAAAGTGTTTAAAAATTACAATAATACGTTTTTCAACGCTTATTTCTTATCAGATTAGCTAAATTATTTTGATTCTCTTTCAATTTTCACTTTTAAAGAAATTATACAAACGCTTTTCTAGGTTATGTGAACAAATTTAGACCAAAATAGCATTCCAGCACACTAATTCTTACGGTTGAGCCTTGTGTTTAGCTGGAAACAATTATAATTAATCACTAAATCTCTTTACTGAACCTTTAGACTGAAAAAAACAACGAAAATGCGTTGACATAACCTCAAAAATACAATTTCGGAACACTTTCTAACTGTTTTGAGCTAAAAAATCAGCAATTTTGAGTTTATTAACTAATTTTAACAAGATAAATTCTTCTAACTTTCATCTAGAAGTGTTCTAAACCAAGGTTTGAACGGTTTCTTGATGATATTTTTAGGTTATGGACAGGTTTTATTGGATAAAATTACGAATATTGTGAGCTGAAAGTGTTTTGCATGCAAATTGAGAAGTTTCGGGACATTATCTCCCCCTTGATGGAAACTAATCCGCAAATTTATTGGATTAAAATGTCGAAATAAGTTCAATTTAATTTCTCATTCTTCAAACCGGTGACAATCCAATTATTGTGAGAATTTTTCTTATAGCAATAAATCAAGCATGTTCCTTAATTACAAACTCCTTTAATTATCTCTAGTCTAGGATTTCTTGCTTCCTGTCGAACTTTAAATTTGTTCATTTTAATCCACAGAAAGCAATTAACTTTTGTAATTGAACTAAAAAGTCGTTTTGTTGTTGAAAATTTACCATCAAACACTTGCTTTTCTCATCACTTGATTGCCATATTAAAGTTTCAAGGAGTTTTCCCAGCTCTTCTCACGCTCTCTCTCTCTCACACTCTCGCTCTCGCTCTGGTGAAAATGCAAACAAGTGTAGAGCGAGTAATAATTAATTTTCCTGTGTGAAAATAATTCCACCAAAACATTATTGAGCAATTTTCTCTTCTCTTCTCGTCTCTTTGCAGTATATCGAACTATCCGAATTACTCAGACAACCACATAAATCCACCGCATCACTTTCTGGATTCACCCTCGGCGGCGGGCGGCGACAAGAAGACCGGCCACTCGCCCAGGATTCGCGCCACGCAGAAGCTTCAGCGCGAGGCTTTTCAGATTAATGTGTAATGAATGGCAGAAATGCGCGAAAGCTTCGACAGTTATTGAGATTATGAATTGTTAAGGGCAGAAAAGCGCTTGAGGAAATTGCGCGCGATTGATTATGATGACAAAGGGATGAAGAAAAGGAGAAGAAGCACTGTAATATAACACATTATGAGGTGTGGAATAAAAAAAAGGGTAGATAGAGATATTTTTAGCTCAAGAATTTGTTGATTTTATACGTTTTTACTAATGAATATTTGAGCATATATATATTTTGAAATTATTCTGTACATAAATTTGAAAGAAAGAAAAAAACACGTATTCGATGCGCTCCTTGACAAATTTCTAGTTCAATTTTATAAATTGATTTGACTTCACTTTAGGAGAAAAGAAAAAAAAAACGTCTAGTGATGAAACATTTATGATTATGAACATATCTTGGAATAGAGTGAAAAAAAAAGGTTGAAATAATGAATTTAGAGACATTATTTGTGACTAAAAATCGAATAACATTCATTCATCCTTCATGTTTCGAGAGCACCTTTTGTTGCAGGAAACAGCCAAAGAAAGAAAAAATAGACAAGGAAAAGCCACACAACCTGACTGTCTTTCGATTTTGTAAAGAAAAAAAAAGGATATTTTAGCAGAGCAAGTAAATTATTGTAAAATTTAAGGGCATTTATTGCGAGTATTTAAGCGCGAAGTGGAAGGAATGTGCCAACATTTTCTATGAGAAATGAGAAAGAAAAGTATATAAACTCGTTTTTCTTTTTTAATACTCCACAACTTGACGCTCTTTTTCGCCAAGAGACAACACAAAATAATATAAAAATTCACTAAAATGATGAAAAATAGCCCAAGATTGTAACATTTTAGAGATGACAATATAAACTTAACTAAACTAAATAGTAATTATGAAGATGTTTTTCTTTTTGTTACGCCAGAAAGATTGCAAACACTGACAAAGAAGTGGAAGGAAACAAAATATGACTAAAAATGTAAGAAGAAGAATATAATAGGAGAAGAAAAAAGTATAAAAATATTCATATATTGAAGATATTGAACAATTTAAAGAAAATATAAATAAATGTGCTGAAGAGAGAGTGAAGAAAATGGATTAATTAGAATGACAAGAAGCTGAGAAATTCCCACTTTTCATCCTGAACATTTAAGCGTTCCTTTCAAGGGGGAGATATTACTGTCGGAAGTAAAAGAAAAAGTGTCCAAAAACCTATAAAATATTCATTTCCAGAGTGAATTTTTGTAATTTCAGACAAATTTATTCGATATTTCGCTTTCTAAAGCATCAATTCTTATGCTTAAGTCGGAAAGATTGCTGTTCATTGACAGAATAAAGCATTTGATGCCCAGAAATATTGAAAATTGAGTGAAACTTCAACATAACCTCAAAAACACTCGTTTAGAGACTTTAAACTTGAATACTGACAATTTACAAAATCTTTCCGGATGATTTTGAGTTTATTAGCAAAACTTAAGAGCTTCTTTCGTATTTTAGAAAGCTTAAAAACTGTGTTTTTAAAGATTTCTCAGCGATATTTTTAGGTTATGAACGAAAATATGTCCAAAAACTTGGTTTCTCTGTTTTTTTTTCGTTATTATTGCAAATTTAGAAGGAAATCATGAATTGATGTACAGATTTATTGCCATTTTCTCTCCCCCTTGGTGAATTTAATGAATTTCCATCAATTTTTCATGCAAATTTCCTACAAATGTCAACTTATTATTAAAAATTGTGATTAGTTTATAGAGAATTTGTTGTCATTCTTCCTGATTTTGCAAGAATTATTTATATTATAGAGAAGTGAAAAAAAGCCCCGGCAAAATGATAATAAATGTTAATCGATGAAGAGAAAAATCACGTGTTTTTAATCAATCACATTTATTACAATGCAGTAGTTTGAAAGTTTTCATCTCCGTCCAGTTTTTCTTCAATATATATATATATGTATAACATCGAAAAAGTTTAATAAGGGATTCTTCATCAAATGTTCTCTGTTTCTTTTTTTTTTCTTTTATACTTCCTTAGGTACATAATTTACATTCATAGAAAAAAAGCTAATATGAATATCATTTCTTTGCTCACAATTTCACGCTTTCACGCTAAAATAGACTCCAGATTTTTCTTTATTTTTCCTTTCTAAAGAGAATTTTACACATTATACAAAATAACAATTGATCTTTTCCCTACACTTTTTCATCTCCCTTTCCGCTTTTCATCGCAGCATTTCCTCCTTTCCAACCCCGCTTAAGCCTAAATAGTGAGAAACAAATATCAAAATATTGAGAAGCAAGAAATGCTCATTCATTCCCTCATGTTTTATATACTTTTGTAGCGCTTTTCTTCTCCCACCCTCGAAAACTTGGCCACTCTCGATTGTTGCTTCCACATTTCTGCACATCCACTCTGTGACGCTCTTGATGGTCTCGCACAAGACGCTCTCTTCGCTCATCCTCAAATCTTATGGCAGATGAAGTGTATTTTCCTCCCCTCATTTAGCTTCACGTCCACTTTCGCGCCGCGTGACAAAATCCTCCGCTTCATTTGCTCTCGATTTCTCTTCAGAATCCGCACTCCTCCTCAGAACATAATGGGCTTATTTTTGCACTGATCCACAACGTATTGCGTGAAGCGTTTGAGGAACTTTGGATACTCTTTTTTGTACACAGCGCGCAGAACTGTGGCTGGCGCCCACCCACCGGGATTCACCACCGAGCAATACGTTATCTTGCACGATAAATCCTTCCTCGACACCTTCCCATTCACCGCCTCGCCGACGTACGTCTGACAGTACAGTATCACGGTTAAATAGATGCGAACACACTTGCCCGTATTTGCTGGCTGCAAGAGAGACAAACAGGGAGAAAATGTGTAAGGAAAACACCATATAAAAAGGGACGAAAATAATAAGCTATCAAAACAGCTCAATTTTCAAACATTAGACTTTAGCGCCTCTAGCGGTGGTCAGATAAACTTCTGTTTTTATAAATATTTGTAGTTTTGCAAGACCTTCCCAATGACACCAAAATCATTCAAATCGGACAATAAAAAGCGCAGTTATGGCTATTTTAATTTCCAGGATTTGCATCCCCAAATCTAGGGTCCTGAAGGATCTACATTCTTAAGTTCGTTGGTTCGTCGGAAAGGTCTTGAGATCAGCTAAAACGCACTGAAATTTGAGTCATTTCCATGCTAGAGAAGCTGAATAAATGACGAAAATGTGTTTTAGAGCTGTTCAAAATGGCGGATCAAATGGCGGACTTACCGGATAAGTTTCATGCTCTGTGGAATGATTGCAGACAATCCAGGCATCGTGAGAGTCCGGATCCTCAACCTCATCCGTCACTCGACGCATGTGCGACCAGAACAGAGCGTCACGCTGACTGGCTGGCCAGATGCGCTTGTGTGTCTGCAGAAAGACCAGAGTGTCTGGCGAGATTGTCTCCAAAATGGTCATATTCTCCAGCGTGGCTGTATTTCCAAAATGGACAAAAAAAAACAAAACAAACAAACACACACGCACATTAGAAAAAGAGACTTAATTAATTTTCTCTCCCATCAGGCAAACGACGAGATTCTTATCAGCGAAGCACACACATGAAGAAAAAAGGAGGGGAAAAAACCAAATTGATGGTGCGAGACAAACAAAAGCACGTCGAGACAGGTGAGAAAGCAATTTGCCACAAAGAAAGCACAAAAATAGGTGATAGAGACAGATAATAAATGATAGAAGCGTTTAAGGTCAATCAATCAAGCAATTCTTGTGCTATTTTGGGCAAAAGAAATTGAAAAAATAATTTCACTAGTTCAACGGTTGATTTTCAAACAGCAAAAGAGGATTCTATAGTTCAATGCTCACGAGCAGGTGGCGCTCTTTGATCAAAAACCAATATGGCGATTGCGTGTGTTTACTTTTGATGCTTCTTTTGTGAGAGAAAATCATGAATTTTATCCAGCAAAAACCACCTCAAAACGCCAAACATCCCGTGAAGAGTAAGTTGAATCCCTTCTCAGCTGCCCGACAATCTTTTATCCTGTTGATTTTGGCAGGAAACACGAGAAATGTGCCTGAAATCAGTGAACAGCCGAAAGCCGGCACGAGTCGAGGAATGCTGGAGAACTTCTTCTCCGAGACAGGATCAGGATTCCTCAGACCACCAGCGGCAGCAGAGACCAAGAAGCCACATGGCAAGACATCGAAGAATCCCGGAAGTGGCCAAACAGCAGGAAATAGCAGCGCTTCTGTCGAACCTCACGTCATTCTGGGTAAGAAACTCTTCCGGAGACACAAAAAGAGAGATTTTCACGCGATTCCTCACTCTTCCAGTCATCACGGAGGGCAGAAACAACGCCCGGGGAGAAGTGGGAATCGCTGCCATTGACATCAACTCGCCAACGCTGATTCTGTCGCAGCTGAGCGATGATATGTGGTACACAGGAACAGTTATCAAGATCCAAATGCTCGATCCCGTTGAGATAATCGTGCCGAACACAGTTCTAACCGAGGATCGCCTCGTGAAGGACTCCAAGCTCCTGAAGATCATCTTCAAGGCCTTCCCCAGTGTGAAGATAAAGCCAGCAATGAGGAAGTTCTTCAACGACGTCGAGGCTCTGGAGAGCATCAATGAGCTCTGCTCCTCGCACTGTCAGAGCGTCAAATTGGCCCTGGAAGGGAAGTATTACGCTCTGGCAGCAGCCGGAGGACTCTTCCGCTACCTCAGGACAGTGCTGTGTATCGTCTTTGCGCCGAAGAGCCTCCAAATTGTCTACGAGGCCAAATATGGCTCAATGATGATCGGTAAAACTTTGATAATTTCCTCCAGAACTTCCTCTTTATCTCTGTTATCTCTCTTTTTCCCTCTTCCAGACGTCGAGACGTCGAAGAGGCTGGAATTGGTGGCTTCGTTGATGCCGAGAAAGAGCAAAAACAGCTGTCTCTATCAACTCCTGGACAAATGTGTCACAAACATCGGCAAGAGATCACTCAGAGCGCGCATCTTGGCGCCCTTCTGTGACGTCAAGCACATCCTGGAGTGTCAGGAGACTGTGCAGGAGCTGATTGAGAATCAACCACTGCTCGAGACACTGCGACAAGTGCTGAAGAAGTTCAAGAGTGTGGACAAAATGCAGAAACTCTGCGTTGTTGTCTCCCAAACGGACGCCATTCGAGCGGCTGAATTGATGATAAGTCACATAATCACATTCAAATCCTGCCTCGAAGCCATTCCTCAGCTCAATGACATCCTGTCGTCGCTGGTGCACAAGAATTTCGACGTGATGCGTCAGGGTTTGGAGGACACGCGCTACAGCAGCATCCTGGCGGAGATCAACAAACACATTGTCAGTGATATTCAGCACGAACGTGGTCAGAAGCATTTCTTCCAGCGCATTCACGCCGTCAAGGAGGGCAGCAATGTCTTCCTGGACATCTCCCGGCGACTCTACTATTGTCTGCTGGAGAAACTGAAGACGTACGTGAAATCTCTGAGTCAAACATACGAAATGTCCTTCGAATTGACTCACAACACCATCAGAGGATATCATGTGATCCTGATTTTCGATCCCAAGAAGCCTCCGCCTGATATTCCTGCTGATTTTGACATCATTTCTCGACGTGGTGGGAAAATTCTGCTGCGAAATGACGAAATTGTGAGTCTGGACAGAAGAATTCGGGATGTTATCAATGAAATTCTCATCATTAGCAATCAAGTGATTGATAATATGCTCGTGGAGATTCGCAAGGACATCGAGTGCTTCTATATGCTGACAGCGGTGATTCTGGAAATTGATCTCATTCAGAATTTCGCCACTTTGGCCACTCTCGATGGCTACACATGTCCATCCTTTGGCCCTGATCTCAAGATCACGGACGCCATTCATCCATTCCTCGAGTTTGGCTGCAATCACGTCACGCCCGTGCCCAATAACGTCTGTGCCACGTCGGATTACAACTTCTTCATGATCACCGGACCGAATATGGGTGGCAAAACGGTGTACATTAAGACAGTGGCAATGCTGCAAGTTATGGCACAGATTGGTGCCTTTGTTCCCGCCACACAAGCCACTTTTCGCATCTGTGACAAACTCTTCTCGCGCATGGGCTTCGAGGACACCGTTCAGCGCGGTGTGTCGAATTTCGATCACGAAGTGCGCCAGACAAACTACATCCTGAGGAACATCACGCCGAACAGCGTTGTGATTGTGGACGAATTGGGACGCAGCACGAATCCACATGAGGGCAAGATTTGGGCGTGGGGAATGTGCGAAGAGCTGGCGGGCTTGAAGGGATTCAGCAATGACGGGAGATACTTTGAACATGACACAGAAAGTGTCATAAATCCTGATCAGGCGGTGAAGGATGTGAAGAAGCTGCAGAATATCACATCTCCCTTCATCTTTCTCACCACACACTTCAAGGAGCTGACAAAACTGCCCGATTATCACTTCAACATGGTCAATCTCTATCTCGAGGCCACGGAGAATGTCCAGGAGAACGGTCAAGTTGTCCTGGATTACACGCACAAAGTGAAACTCGGTGTGACGCCACTGAAAGCCTACGGATTATCCTTGGCCAGACAGATTTCATTCCCCAAACACGTCATTCCGCGGGCTGAGGAAGTGTACAAGAAGCTGGAGAATGTCAGCGAGAAGGCAGAATTTGAAGACAATCCTGAGAAGTCTCGCTGTAAAGACACTCTGGAGAATGAGAGGAAACTCTATGATCTCTATGCTAATCTTGCAAGTATTCTCCGATCAAATTCAGAGTCATCAGAGGATTTTGTGAGACAAGAAGTGGATAAGATGCTGAAGAAGTTCATTGAAACAGCAGATCCTGAATTTCTCATGAACGTGAGGACAAAATCTGCTTCTGACATTCTCAATACATCCTTCTCCACTGTCAGTGATGAAAATCTTCCACGTAAATCCAAAGTTTCCCTCAATCTTGAGTCAATTCGTGAGGATTTGACGAGTAACAGAAATCTTAACAACATCACAAGTGACTTTAGATCAATTCTAAACACTCCTGTTGAGCAAATCCGGGAGATTTGCAATGTCAGCAGTTCATCAGTGTCTTCATCACCGTCCAAAATATTGCCGGAAGAGAGAGAAATTGTCTCCAGAAAATCACCATCGATTAATTTCAATCTCAGAACACCTTTCAAGCCAAAATCCGTGGAAAATGCATCAAATCAAGCAGTCAAGGAGGTTGATTTCTTCAACACAACCAAGAAGACATCCTCAGATGACTTCTTCTGCACACCAGGTCCATCGCGCGATGGAAGAACGACTAAAGAAAGCAGTGGAATTGTGAATATCCTCACTGAAGATGATGACGAAGAGATTCAGAGTGAATATGAGATGGTTTTGTCATCACAAATTGTCCTTACGCAGGACAATAGTGAGGAATTCTTCAACTCAAGCACTTCCAAATTCAAATTGGATGAATCTTCAGATCATGACAGTGAGGATTTCTTCAAGAAACCACCAAGTAAGACTTCCAGTGATCCGTGGAAGAGGAATTTCAGTGATAACAAGACAAGTGATAAGGAAGATTCTGTGAGTTCAATCAGCAAAATCACTCCGGTGAGTTTCATGGAACGCTATCGTGAGAGTGTGATTAGAAGAATGAGTGAATCGTCGTCCATTCAGCCCATAAAGCCGGACAAATCCAAGTGTCACATGAAGCCCAGCATCACACACATTCCCGCGGTGAAGCAGCTGATGATTCGACAGCAAATGGAGGACGACATGTCCAGGAGCAGTGGTGGAAGTGATGAGAAATCAGGTCAGGATGTGAGTGCGGAAAGCACAGAGTCTCAAAGGAGTATCTCAAGCGGGAGGAACAATTGGTTTCCGGACGTTGGAACACTCCAGGAGACGCAATCTTCAGGATCAGCGTTGGCAGAAGCAGAGGAAAGGCCCAGGAAGAGGGAACGCCTCGTGTTGGATTTGGCTAAACTCTATGAACTCGAAGACAGTGTCAAGAAGTAATAAATGCTCTGTCAAGAAGCAATTGATCAATCAATAGTTGATGATTTCATGCGCGTGTTTAGCAAATGATTGATAGTGAGTCAGATTTCCCCAGAAAATCCCTCTTTTTCCTTCCATTTTCGCCTCAATGTGTGCGCATGCATGATAGGGAAAACAGTTGATAAGCTGTCTTTTACTCACTCTCCCAATCCATCCTGTACTCTGGGCTGAAGAAGTAGTGGCACATCTCGCGCGCCGTGACGCCCTGGACGACGTGACAGGCCTTCAGCGGATCGATCACCATGCCGTTCACCTCCTCCTCGCGCCTGTACATCTTCATCTCGCCCTCGTCGGCGAACAGCTGCCACCCATTGCCACCCTCGCCGACGCCCTGACGCGCATGGCTCAGCTGCTCCACGCACATGTGGTCGATCTCCTGCCACAGCCGGTGCGTCTGCGCCTCGCCGCCCGTGCCGAACTCCTCCTCGTCCACCGCCGCCACGGCGTCCTCGTCCGGATAGGCGTCCGGACAGCTGAGCTGCGACTGCAGCTTGAGGCGCACGCGCATCTGTGTGTCCTCCTCCATCTTGTCCAGGCCCGACTCCACGGCGTCGAAGAACTCATCCTCGGGCAGTGTCGAGTGAGGTCCTTCCTGCAAATGGCACAGCGGATATTTGATCGCAAAGAGACTCTCAATCTGAATGTGTTGACAAATGGTAAATGTTCTGTATTTGCCGAGAACATATTTATAGTCTTTAAATATGAGGAATTTCACGTGTAAACAAACTGAGGGAAACTAAATAGTTCGCTCAACACAAGACAATCTCATATCAGCTACAAAACTCTGCTGATACTTTAGGAATTCTCACGACCAAACACAAGGGGGAAATATTTCCATAGATATTACGAAATGCTCAAAAACTCATACAATTTCATTCCCAGAGTGTATTTTACTAACAAATTAACTCGTTTATTTGAATTTCTTTTGATTTTCACTTAGGAAAAATTGATATCACTGCTTTTCTAGGTTATGTAATTGATTTCAGCTCATCAATTCTTATGATTAAGTCGAAAAAATTGCTGTTTATTGACAGAATTAAGCATTTTTGTACAATAAAAGTCGCTATTTTGAATCTTTGAGGCCAAGAAACACCGCAAATTGTGCTCAGATCGAACATAACCTCAAAAATAGTCATTTTGACTTGGAAAATTGCCATTTAAAAATCTTTCTGGTTGATTTTGACTCAGTTTCAGCAATTTTGAGTTCATTGACAAATAATAAGAAGCAATTTTGTGATCAAAAAAGCTTCCAGAACATCAAAAACACTGGAAGCTTTGGAGGCTCTGCACATCTTCTTATCGGGACATAGAAATGTCAATAAAAAGGAAGATTGTGCTGGCGTTAGAGTTCCTTTTCAGTGTCAAAACGTTTTTAATGATAAAAATATCAAATAGAAACAGATTTAAGGCATATTATCTCCCCCTTTGACTAAACACTATAAAGAAAGACACTTTTATGCAACACGCCAGTCACATTATTATGCTGAATTTTCAGCAATCAACGAAAAATTATGTTGTGTCTAATTATATAAACTTTCACATGGTCAAAAATGACACTTTAAACAACCCATTTTCTACCTTCAAACATTCCTTTATCTTCCAACCTTTGACTTTGTGAGTGTGGAAGAGAAATTATGGAATTACAATGTGTGGATTTGCATGATCGCATTGAGTAATAATTCATCACACAGTTTTTCCAACATTTTTGCATGCTTTTTTTTTGCACGAAAAGAGATTTAATCTTGCCTTTTGACACACAATAAATTGACTCACACAATAACTGGAATTGGAAGCAAACGAGAAAGTGTGATAAGGCCAAAGAGAATGACGCTTATAATTTCCTATCAGTTACAATTGTGCATTTTTTCCTCTTCTCTCTCTCTCGCAATCAAGTGAAGAATTTACAAAAATGTCCAGCAAAAGCACTATTTTGCCACTGTGTTTTATTATATAATAAAACAGAAATCGAAATTGTACCTTTTTTTATGTCTTAATGACACATCTATAAGTTTGGTTTTTCTCTCTTATTTTTTGAGTAAAAGTAGCACACGAAAATCTTACAAAATATACAATCTTTTTGGTGAAGAGAGGAAAAAAAAAGTATCAATTTCCAAATCAAATTTCTACAGAAATGGCGCGAAATCACATAATCAAATCTCTTGTCACAGAAAGCCATCATCATCATTTGCATCCATCATCAGTCGAGTGCGCGTAATTAAATTTTATCAGCAACGACAGTTGAGTGAAGATGCAAAAAATTCAATTATATCCGTCATTTCCGTCATGGAAATTTATTCTTGGCTCGAGTTTAATCTCTTTGGCGGTCAGAAAAACACTGAAAATCACTCTCTTCACTTCCTTTTCTCACAATTCTGAGACTTCGGCTATAAATTGGGCTAAACAATTCATCACATTAGCAGAAAAGTTATCGCAACTCGCTCTTTGACCCTTTAAAATGTCTTCACTTACATTCTTCCTATTCCTGAAGGCCTTCTTGTACAATCCAAGAGACGCCAAAGAGGGCATTTTTCTGCACTGTTTTTCCCACTTTTTTCCCCTTTTAAAATAAAAAAAAAACACCAAATTCACACCAATTTGAAGAGCGTGAGAGAGAGAAAAACCTGCTGAAAAGCCTCCAGTTGGACAATCGCGACCGTTCCAATTGAAATCCAACACAAAACTGATTAACTTCGTGGCGATATTGACTCTCATTGGCACTCCGGACACTTTTTTCGCCGTATTGTTTTCACCTCTTCTTCTTCTGCCACCCATTCATTGATACGCTCCCCTGCCGCCCCCCGCGCGCTGGCCGCTGGCCAAAATCACAGAGTGTTTGTTTGGCGTGTGATTTGAAGTTTGAACTGCGCCGAAGAGTTCAAGAGTGGGCGCCAAAGAGCCACAAATTTTAACACCATCTCTAATTCAATTGACAGCCACATTTTTTGCCCATAATTGCCTCCAATTGATCACTAATATTCGCGACAGAAATTTGATAAATACGATAAATACAATCGAATTTCGGAATGCGACGGTCAATGCCAAGAGGTCAAGCGAAGATTATGGCGAGAGACGCGAAAAGCAGCGAGTCTTATGGCCTCATCGAGAGATTAGCCAAAAAATAATTGCTCTCATTGATAAACCACTTGTCATTAGATTAGATGTGATAATTCAGAGTGATTTCCCAATTAGTTGAAACCTCAAATAGAATGCTACAAAAATTATAACCTTTCCAAAAAAAAACTCTTTAGAGGCTTTTTTTCTCTTATTCTTCAGCAGCAGCGCAAGAAATAGCAATCAATGTCAAAATCTTCCACATTTAGGGGAAAACGGGGCAATTTTACACACTTGTAGTTTAATAAATGAAGCTGAAATTCAAAATATGGCAATTTGAAATTACAGTAACTCTGATTGATTCGCGCGTTTCACCGCGTCTTCCCTCAGTGCTGCCTCTACCGTCAAATAATGCTAACAGTGAGAATCTCGTCAGGAGGAGAAGGCCGCCATGACAGTGCATTCCCGCCACAAGATCTCCAGAGATACCAATTGAGCAGGGCTTGGTTTTTTGCCAGTTGATATTGGGAATTCGACTTACATGCAGAAATATTTCATGTTTATCTGAAAAACCTTTGAAGATCGTTTTAAAATAACACGTTAAGGCTTAATTACAAATTTAAGGCTTAAATTTGTAGCTCAAAATACTATAAAAACTTTTTTAAATTCTATAACACATTATTAACATTAAAATAGATTTAGAGGGAATTTTAGATTTTGAAATTTCGAAAATTCTGTCTTCGACACAAGCGCCTCTAGCGGTAGTCAAATGAATTTCAGTGATGATTTCCAATATGAACTTAATATAATTAAGTGTTTCAGTTGTTTAAATTGAATTTCATCTGCTAAATTACTCTCCTTTCCCCTAATTTTTCGTCTCTTTTTTAGCTTTTTCAATTTAAAATTCCCGCATTGAGCAAAAAATATCGTTGCACATAGAAAGCTTCAAAAGATTTCAGCATATTTCGCGCTCATTTTACCACCAAAAATTCTTCACCCAATTTTATTTTTCGACTGTGTCTCAACGACCAATTAAAAGATTAATTTACAAGAAAATAAAATCCACCACAAACCAATGTCAAAAAAGAGCAAACAAATATCGACAAATCCTCTCTTTTCCCCCCACACGCATTAGATGCAATATAAGTCAATCTTGTGCGCCTCAACATTACGTCAAGTGGGTTAAACGCAGAGTTATGTCATGGAAAATGCGTGCTTTGACTCCCAAAAGTGATCAACACTGACACACTGACTTCCAAAAACCACACATTTTCCACCACATTTCGCTTCTCTTTCGCTACCGCGTCTTGTCATCTCAAACTCCGCGTCTTAAGAGACATTTTTGCCTCTTTTTTTTCACCTCTTTCTTCAGATCGAATCACGCAATTGACAGCGACAATCTAACATCTTTCTTCCCCACCTGATTTTTTTTCTTTTTGCAGAGCTGAAAGCAAGAGTCAAAACACACACACATTTCTTGAGGGAGAAAGAGAGGGAGAAAAGCCTCATAAATATTATTTTAACATCTTTTTTTTTGTCCCCACAAATTGCTTTCACATGTGAATAAATTTGCATAAAATGTGTGTCTTTGACATCTCTTCCAGAGTCTGCAAATCAATTTTTTTTCTCTTGTGCGCGGAAAGCGAGAGTAAAGCAAAGGCCGTAATTTCACTATATGCAATTTGATCCACTCACACCTGATGCTCTTCGCGGAGACATCAAGAAAGTTATTGAGAGGGTCATAAAATTGATGTCACCGCCGCACATCATATAAAGTGGATTCTTTCACATGAATCTCCACACATTCATCTCTCTTTCTCTCTCGCTCGTGCACGCGACAGCGCGCTTACATAATTGTCCATTTCACTTTAACTCCTCTTCATCTTCTTCATTGACGAAAACAGAGCCATTGGAAATGGATGGGAAAATATTGACAATAGATTTTATATTGCAAGTGCCGCGCTTTTTGCACACTTCATTGTCGCGCAATTCCGCATGCAAATAAATGAAGCGTGCGCGATTCTTTCTTGTCATCAAACTCACCTCCATGTCAGGGCCAGGAAGGGATGAATTTCTCACTCTCTCCAGTCTCTCCTTCACTTGTCTGCAAAGCAGTAACAATAGTTAGTAAAATCCTTTGATTCCTGAGCAAATTTCTCTCTCTCTAACCTGTAGAGATCCTCGAGTCTCTTCCTCTTCTCAATCTCCCGATCGAGTTTCCTCCGCCAACTGTCGTCCCGCTGGGCAATCATCTCGAGACAGTGCTGAAGTGTGGACAGAACACCAGCTGTTGTGGCTCGGAATGTTATGGCTTCACCCTTAAAGTCAATCGGACGCAATCCATCAACCATCTCCAGTGGTTGTCCATCTCTCTGGCCATTGATCTCGGCACAAGCGTCAAAATACCTGCAAGAATTCCACACAAAACACACCATTAAAACGCCATTAAGCACCCAGAAAAACAATCACTGAGAAAGAGGACAGAAATTCACAGAAAAAAAACACCTGAAGATTGATTAAACAACACAACATTTGAGAGAAGAATTCTAAATTCTAACAATGAACAGTGTTTTCATATCTAAACATGGCAAGAAAATGCTTTATTTCACTTAAAAAGTGCTCAAATACAACACAATTTGATGAATATTGACTTTTCGCATTCCACAATTTTATTTCTTGCTCAATTACCGAATGTGACACAGATTTGAAAAGAGGATTTCATATCCTTCAACTCTTCAGAAGATGCAAAAAGCGACAAATGATCGCAAGATAGTCTAAATTATCAATTTTTACAAGAAAAACGTCGTTTTATGTACTTTTCATTGCAATTTTTGTCAAAAATTACTCCAAAAACACTCAATTTTCCACGGATTTTCAAAATTAATAGCGTTTTGGAAAGATAATTTCACAACCAACAATTCTTTGGAACACTTTATTTGTGTCAGAACACATTTTTACCTGTTTTTCGAAGGTATTTTGACAAAATCCTAATTCTGAATGAAATATATTCATAACAGCGCTAATTTTCCACGGATTTTCAAAAGCAAAGGCTTTATGGAAAGCTCAGAAGATGATCTACAACTCTCAAAAACCCATTTCTTCTGTTAAATCACGTCTTTGCTTATTATTAACCTTTTTAACCGTCTTTCTTCTGCCAATTGTAGAGAGAAAAATTCATTTTCCAACCACGTGAAGACAACAAAACTGACAATGAACAACACTTTGATGGTAGAATGAGACACAAACCTTCTTAAATTGTGACAGAGGAGCATTTACAAAATATGAAAAGGCGTTAATAAATGAATTTTTAACTCTCGAGATCGACGAGAATTCCCGCGACACACTTTTAGCCAAGACACACAACACACAATTTCTCACCTTTGAAGCGTTTCAATTTGGCCATAGAGAATGTCTTTGAACGTCTCAATCTCGTGCAGTTTCTCACGCAGATTCCTGTTGGCGCGCTTCAGGCTGCTGCCGCTGGCCGTGGACAACGTGGTGGATTGCAGGGACACGGAGCTTCCGTGGCGCCTCAACGAAACGTCACTGCTCGTGTCCGTCTTGTAGCTCTGCAGCACTTCGATCCAGTGCGTCTTGTCCTCCGGATTCTCCGCCCGCAGATACCACACGCAGTTGCTGATGGACACATCAAAGCGACACTCATCAAACTCATGCGACTGCAGAAGAGAAAGAACGAGAAATTCGTCAAGTTTTCCTGTGGAAATTCATGCATGAAATTGGGAAATAGTGTTGGAAATGTGTGAAGAGAGAGATTTGCCCTCAGAGTTTCATTGCCGCGCGCGCGATTGGCACGAAGGCAGCTACACAAAACATTGTACCGAAATAGCTGCAATACTGGTAAATCACACACGCGAGAAACATCCCAGAAATTGAACGAGATAATTGATAAATTGATGATAATAGAGACATAAAGCAAGCCAAAACATTCACACACACACACACGCGCGTGGCATCGGAAAACACTCTCCCATATGGAAAATTGATCAATAAATCCCAATCAATGGCTTCAACCAAACATCTCTTCTTCTTCTCCTCTCGCGCGGCATTCCATCATAAATACACACGACACACACACACAAACACTCCCACACAACACAAGACAGCATTATTCTTCTTCTCTTCTGAATAGTAAAACCAATTCAGCCGGAGAATTTGCAACATTTTTCCCCCCTTCAACGCATTTTATTCGGCCAATTGGCCAAATTGGCGAAGCAAAACGCTGGCCGAGAAGGAAAATAAAAACTTTTCCAAGTGCTGATTACAATTCATTTTTTTTTTCTCCCATTCACTCTCCCGCGATAAAGTGCCACCCAGAGATAAGGCTCTCCAAATACACAACATCAAAGGCAATTGGAGGCTTTTGGAGAAAATATTCTTTCAGCCAACATTCGATTAACTCAAGTTTCGCACACGCCATGCAACAGTGTCGAAACAGTGGGTGAGAAATGCTCAATAATCACCCCAAATATCAGCCTTCAACACACTGTAGTTCAATGGCCAATTCATAGTTTATCGTGGTTATCAGTCTTGTTATCAGTCAACACCAGAAAAGGCAGCACAATCCAAAAGAATATTCCTGAATTTTGCCATCAAACTTCTCAATTTGCCTTTTAGAAGCATTTAGACAATTTAAATAGACTTCATTTGACGCAAACGACGTTGAATAAAAAGCTCAATTTATTCGTTTTTAATTCACAATGAACCAAAAACAACCCTCGAAAGCACTTATCAATTGGTCAGTGTGGCCAGATGACAGCTGTCAAACACATGCAAAACACACGGACGACGATAGAGACATCTATTAGTCAAAAGAATGTCGTTAGAATAATAATGAAGACGTATTTTTCTCAAGAAATCCCAATTTGATTCCCAAATTGATAGACTATTTCCATTTCCATCGCAAATTGCACAGTGTTATGAGATAAAACACCGTAAAACTTCTGAATAACACTTCTAAATGTCATTTAATGGATTGTTTTGCGGGTTTTGCGTCTAAATTCGTACTTTAAGAGCTTAATTCAGAGACAATTAATAGAAAATCAATGTGTTTAACGAGAAAACTTTTGACATGATGTCATTTTGACATCATGTTAGGAAATCAACACATAAAATATGTGATTCAGAATTGAACCCAAATTTTTAAGAATTTGAGACTATTTTTCTCAATTTCATTCAAAATGTTAACGACGGGAATAAAGTGCAATTTCTCTTCCCTTCATGCAAGAATATGCGATGGTGAAGAAGATCATTTTAATGCCGCGCGATACACTTTCACAATTCCGCCAATTTCCATTTATCTTTGCCAATAAAACCAGATGATTTATGAACTATTTTTTGCCACGATGATTCCACAAATGCGCAAGAGTCATTTGTGCCATATTATTGAGGAATTCAAGTGTACAAATTGACACACAACACTGATGATGAATCACTCGAACGAGTGTCCAAACGAGCGAAATATAATTCAATTAATTCCGCCGCATGCAAATGGGAGGAATAAAAGCGTTGCGCCGCGAGAATGCCGCGGACTTGAGCCACTCGCGCGCGGGACGCGCGGATGACTCCTCGCGAAGCGGCCCATGATTAGGGGATTTTTACTGCCTCGCCAGCACACACGGGCGTTGCGTGCCGAGGCGAGAATCTGTCTGTGGAGCAATTGATGGGCGATTGGCGGCGAAGGGTGTCGGTTGGATTTTACGACGAGGTCATTTCTCAATGTTTCCGCGCTTTCCGCGGCGCGCCCACGGGTCAGCCGCCGCCCTGTGATTGAGAATGCGCCGCGCGGGAGCGGCGGGAATTCCCGCGCGCTCTCTCACCTTGATGGTGGCCTTCTGGAGGCTGATCGCCCCGCGACAGCCGAAGTCGCTCTCCTGTTCGCTCTTGTAGTACGACAGCGTGCCATCCTTCAGCACGATGAACCTGGGCTGCCAGCCGTGGATGTAGTTGGTCCACTTGGACAGATATCCCTTCAGCTCCGGCGTGTCCGACTCGTCGCTGTTGCTCTGCGCCGAGAAGTCCTCAGCCATGGCGCGGCGGCTTCCTGGGCAGCAGCGGTGACTCGACTGGGACGTTCGCGCGCGCTCCCGAGAATCCACTGGGCACTGGGGAGAGGAAGTGGCACTTTCTCATCTTCGGCGGCGCAAGGGGGCGCTCGCCAGTACACTCCGCCGCGAGATTGCACGTACCAAAAAAAGGGCTTCGACTTCACTCGCACATCACACACTTTTCCCGCGAGCCTGCTTTTCCACTCTTCCGCCACACGCCACAATCAATTTCCACCACCGATCAGTTTTTTGGGGTGCGAAAAAAGGCCACGGAAAGTGGAGAGAAAACTTTTTTCACGCAAAATTTTCTCGATTATTTTGACACAACACACACACACACACGCAACGCGCCTTCGGACTTCCAGATTCGAACATTGCTCAAGTGTTCGAAAGAAAAAAACCCTCCAACAGCAAAGTGCATTCAAAATTTGAAGCGCCAAAAGAAAAAGCCCAACGACTTTCATCCACATGCGATCTTTTATTTTACACAGAAAATTCCTCTCGAGTGTGATTACAATAAAAAAAAGAAATTGATGGCCTTCGATCGTGACTATAAAGTTGTGCATCTCCCAGCCAATATGGCCACAGTGCAACGATAGATTTTTGGAGAGCTTTTCCTATAAAGCACACACGAGCGCGTGCTTTTTTTTTCTTTACATGAATTGACTAAAATCGTGTGTATGATGAACTTCATTCTCAACGCTGCTCTCCTCCTCCTTGTAGTTTTGGTATTTGTGATCTATGCTACTCCTGAAGATGCTCTTGGGGCACTTTTTGTAGTACGGAAAGCACTCGCCCGGCCCCAAAACACCCTCGCCGACACGCTGCGCCGTCACGTATTCGTCCAGGAGGTGCGAAAAGGGACTCTTGGAGGCACTGAAAGCCAGGAAAAATCAGTAAAAATGCTTCGAGAGACTTGAATAATTGAGAACTCACGTGAGAAAGAGCTTCACAATCTCTCCAAACAGTCCAAAGTTGTGGAGTTTCCGTGAGTGAACTTCGCAAATCGCCCTCAAGATGCACGCCTTGCCATCCAGCCCAAAAGTCCCGAGAAGATCCTCAAGAGCCACATACAAGAGGGCTCTTTCGCCGCCGTGAAAGATGAATTTGTGCTTCTCCGGAAGTTCAGGTGGAAAATCATCCTCCGCTTCTGCGTCCATCATTGAGACTTTAAAGGGGGATGATTCTGTTGCCGCAGCTTCCCTCCTCTTGCGCCCCTTCATGTAGGATGAGATGTAATTGGAGAGAATCATGCCTGTGGCTCTGCCCATTGATCTGGCGAACACATTGGGCAGCACACCGAGGGGATTTTCATTGTCTGTGAGGCCCAATTTGTCGAAATCAACTGCGCACAGAAGACAAAATGTCAGGAAAACAGGCGAGAAAAGAACCCAGGAAAATCTTACTGGTCAGAGGCAAACTGATGGTGATGTTGGAGAAGAATCCTGGCGGAGGATGTCGGATTAGGGGCAAAGCAAGAGTGGGTGAAATTGTCAGAGAAGTTCCTGGCGGCAGAGCCAATCGTCCATCTTCTGTGATCCAGATCAGTCGCTTCTGTCTGGAATGTGGCTTGGCGTCTCCTTCCGGCACTCCTTCCCTCTCCGCCTCGATGTCCTTCACCTCCTGCGATCCGACTTGCCACACAATCAGCACAATCACGAGCGGTAACCATCGCCAGCGCGCCTCCATATTCTGTCTCACTCTTTGAGCTGGAAAAGAGAGCGAGATAACATCTTATTATGCACTCCTCAAGATCATGAATGAATCGCCTCACGATCACAGGTGAAAATCACGATCATCTGGGCATAATAAACACTGCTCTCAATTCACAATTGAGACACAATTCCGCCGCTCCTTTCACTTTTCTCTCGCGCTCGAAAAGCGCCGAACGCCCAGAGATGAAAAGATCCTCTTCGCTTCTGGTTGAGATCATTGAACTCCAACGGACGCGCCAAGGGGGAGAAAATCTGCCTCAAGTCTGTCTGATAAGAATTTTATCCGTTTTATTGTAATCTAATCGAGGCTTTTCCATCTCAAGAAGTGACTTAAAAACCGTAGCTTTTTCAGAGTAGAAAAAAAATTACCAATATATTTCAACTCTTCCTCAAATCTCCACTGAATTGACCATGATATTTCCCCCTTTGGTGAGTTGAAAGCAAAAGTGTGAGATTTATTTGCATATGAAATGCGACAGAACGAAGAATTTGTAGGTCAGGATGATGTGTCAATGATTAATTTTCGGTTTTAACGAAAGTCTCCTCCTCTTCCTCCTCCTCGCCGCCCTCGAAGTCCTGATCCTGCATTCCCGCTTCCTGGTACTGCTGATACTCGCTGATGAGATCATTCATGTTGTTCTCCGCCTCGGAGAACTCCATCTCGTCCATTCCCTCGCCCATGTACCAGTGCAGGAAGGCCTTGCGCCTGAACATGGACGTGAACTGCTCGGACACGCGCCGGAAGATCTCCTGGATGGCCGTGGTGTTGCCGATGAACGTGGCGCACAGCTTCAGGCCACGCGGCGGAATGTCACACACCGCCGTCTTGCAGTTGTTGGGGATCCACTCCACGAAGTAGCTGCTGTTCTTGTTCTGGATGTTCAGCATCTGCTCGTCCACTTCCTTCATGCTCATCCGCCCACGGAAGATCGCCGCCACGGTGAGATAGCGTCCGTGGCGCGGATCACACGCCGTCATCATGTTCTTGGCGTCGAACATCTGCTGCGTGAGCTCAGGAATCGTGATGGCGCGGAATTGCTGATCTCCACGCGCTGTCAGCGGCGCAAATCCCGGCACGAAGAAGTGCAGGCGCGGAAAGGGCACCATATTCACGGCCAACTTCCGCAGATCGGCATTCAGCTGGCCGGGAAATCGCAGGCACGTCGTGATGCCGGACATCGTCATCGAGACCAGATGATTGAGATCGCTGTACGTCGGCGTCTGCAGCTTCAGCGTGCGGAAGCAGATGTCGTACAGCGCCTCGTTGTCCATGCAGAATGTCTCGTCGGTGTTCTCCACCAGCTGATGGATGCTCAGCGTGGTGTTGTACGGCTCCACGACGGTGTCAGAGACCTTCGGCGACGGCACCACGGAGAAGGTGTTCATGATCCTGTCCGGATACTCCTCGCGGATCTTCGAGATGAGCAGCGTGCCCATGCCAGAGCCCGTGCCGCCGCCCAGGGAGTGCGTCAGCTGGAAGCCCTGCAGGCAGTCGCACGCCTCCGCCTCGCGACGCACCACGTCCAGCACCGAGTCCGCCAGCTCGGCGCCCTCGGTGTAGTGGCCCTTGGCCCAGTTGTTGCCCGCGCCGGACTGCCCGAAGATGAAGTTGTCCGGCCGGAAGAGGCCGCCGAAGGCGCAGCTGCGCACGGAGTCCATCGTGCCGGGCTCCAAGTCCACCATCACGGCGCGCGGCACGTAATTCCCACTCGTGGACTCGTTGTAGTACACATTCAGCCGCTCCTGCTGCAGATCCGTGTCGCCCGCGAACTTCCCGTCCGCCAGAATCCCGTGCTCATCCGAAATCACCTCCCAGAACTTCACACCAATCTGATTGCCACACTGGCCAGCTTGAAGATGCAGAATTTCCCTCATTTCTCCAGAGTTTTTTTTCCACAGAACAAAAAATCAGCGTGAAAATTCACCGAACAGATGCTTTTGCGTCTCACTGGCTACTCAGATTCGCTATGCTAAATTCCAGAAAAGCGTCCAGAGACCGGAGAAACTCAACTTTCCTATTGACTCACAAAGGAAACCACTTTTTGCGGACAATGAGGAAACCGAGAACGGGTTTCAACGGCCAAGAATGGCGAGAAAGCGCTCAGAAGATTCTATACTGCACATCTCGGGAAGACGTGGGAAACTTTCGCGCCAGAATTGATGCTCGATGGATTTCTAGTTTAAATGCTGGGCGCCAGTGGCGCTAATTCTCATCCTTGACGGGATCAAGGAGGAGATATTCTTGCTAGAAATGGTATACAGTCAACAAAGCACTTTTCAGAAGGCAATTGCACAGATTTAAGCCTCTAGAATCATATTTTGCAGGTCAATTTCTGCATCTTCTCATCAAACTGTGCTTCGATCAGAGAAAATATGCATAATAGCAAATTCTTGGCTGAAAGTGGCACAACTGAAGAATCAATTCCAACGAAACCGAGAAGGAAGATGAGCTCTCAATCTAGCGTGAAATCAACTCTGCCGCCGCGGAAGATGATTCTGTGCAAACGTGACGACAAAACGGCGAGAATGCCATTGATCAGTGACTCAGAGATGCATCAGGTGCTCAAGAGATGAATTTATGGCCGAGGAGGAAGACTTACGTTCCGGTTTTTGATGATATCCCAGACACTAATGAGTCTAGTGATTGAGATTAAGAAGAAAATGAAATTTTGACGAAGGAGAAGAAGGAAAAAAGCTGTAGAAGCGAAATTTCTGGGTCGCACAATTGCATTGACAAAGTGTTGCGGATGTGCGCATTACAAATTCGTATCACAATTAGCTTAAAGTGATTATTGGTGGATTTTATTGGATATCTATTGGCATACTGGAGAGTTAGGTACCTTTTTTATGGCCACACGAAGAAAACACACACAGAATGCGCACGACGGCGACATCATAACGGAAAAAGCGTGGCTGTTGTGCAGAATTTTGTGTGTCAATTCCCCAGAATATTCAATTGACCCACCTTGACGCTGGATGCACCGACAGAGACGTTTTTATGGCATCGCGTCCGCGAGCGAGAGAGGAAGTTGTGCAACAAGTTCAAGGTTGCAGCCATTTATTTGCCAGCGCATTGCATGAGATAACAAGACGGCGCGAGGGCGAGAAACTCGGCAGACTGATGGAGCTTCGAAAGCACATTAAAGAGATGTGTGAGAATAAAGACAAATTGACGTGATTTAAGAAGCTGTTAAAATCAATCTCTGTCAAGGGGGAGATAATATGTCTGAAATCTGGGTTCTTCTGTCTCAAGAACAGGCTTAAGTCCCTCAAATGCTTGAATTTCCGATTTCTGGACAGACTTCAAGACCTTGAAGCAAATCAAAAAGAGGATTCGCAACAAAACACAGCTCAAAACTTTTCCGTTTAATCGTAAAATGCATGGAAAGTCACGAAAATTTCATTATTTACATACGAAAAGGTATTTTGAGGTTATGATCGGCCCGAAAACTGTTTTCTATGTTTGCGTATGATTATTTAAGTGTAAAATCTCACTTCTTATTATAAGATTGTCGAAGATGTGAGCAGAAATAGTTATTTACTTATTTAGTTCCACTACAATTAGTCGCATAACCTAGAAAAACATTGGAACTCATTTTCTTTTGCAGAATTGCCGGAAGGAATTCAAGAAAGTGCTCTAATTTGTGAAGAATGCTTCTCAAGCACAAATATAACAAATATTTCAACACTTCCTCACTTCCGTTTAACTTTAAACCACTTCAGAGCCATATTATCTCCCCCTTGATGGCTGCACAGGTTTCCAAGAGGCGGAAGAAAAAGGCGAAAAGGGCAAGAATGATGTGATCATAACGAGTTTATGGCATCGCGAGTTGTGCTGCAATCGTCTGAGTGTCTCTGAGTGGGTTCATTTCGACAAGGAGTGCTTGAGAAACAGAGAGAATTTGTCCCAATTCTTCATCGTCTGCAAGTCTGTGATTTTCCCTACTTTTAGATAGAAGTCGCGCGATCTTCATCAATGAATTATATTGATGATGACACTTATTCTCAACTTTCATTGGTTTTATTTGAATATTGAGACACCGTTGATAAATCTGGGTCAGAACACGCTTTTTTTTTCTTCTCCTCGCCAAGCGCACGCAATGTTGTCAGACAAGAAAAGGAGAGAGAAGTTGTCCAAGAATTTCGATTATAATCACCTGTTTTCCGATTATTCCACTTTGTCATCTGGTGTGACTTAGAAAACATCTGAATTTCTTTCAAATTCACGTGCAGATGAAGAAAAACAGGTGATAAATTTAATGAATCTCATTATTTAGAACATTCACAAATGATTGATCTTCGAGTGTGAGAAGAAAAAATCTAGATCATTTGCAGGAAAAAAAAGGCAAATTATGAGACAATTCTATGATTTTATATATAGTGAAGAAAATATTACAGTAATTTTCAAAGTGACCTGCAATGAAGTTACACTGAAACTATTATATCGTCTCAGCACGTTTTGTGATTTATGAATAAAAAGGGAAATTAGATTGACTTTTCACTTGACAAGAAGCTCACCGAGCGCGATTAGCAATTTCTCTCCACGGGCATATTTAATAGGAGCCAATAAAGTCTGAAGTGTCTGAAGATTATCACCTGTGGGTGGCAGAAAAAGCGCGCCCCACGCCGTGATTTACTGACTATGCACTACTTAAACAGCAATAACGATCAATTTTCTCTAAACATCTCTCTTTCTGCCACCGACAAGAAGAGTCTTGATCGTCTTGATTAATTGTGTGTGAATTGGTCGCGGATTTATGATCTGTAGCATATTTGGAATGAGACCGTTGCGAGCTGTGGATCATCGGACAAATCCTTCGGCTCTGGGACAGGATTTGTCGACTCTTCACAGCGCCATTCTTGGGGATTAATTGCTGCGCCATCAATTAAGCACGAGAGCAAAAAGTATTACAGAGTTTCTCAGCAAGAAACCCTAGATTTGCTTTTACGTAACTATGTCATGATCTCATGAGACTTGAGGAAAAGATCGTCCGCAACAGGTTGTCGCGCTGCAAAAGGTGATCGCAATTGATCATATTGGCTATATTTATGCACTTGACATCCAACAATGTGTGCCATTAAAATTTTTGCCCCAGCAATCGTGACTAAAATGCTCAATTGACGAGCAGAAACAATGGATAGATATTATCACGTCCGTGAATTGAATCAAATTCGTACGATCGCCACTTTTGTTATTTGACACATTTCGCCCAAATCGCGCGCGCGCGCGATCGTGAGGATCAATGATCTTTCTTTGGGGGGGTTTTTCGCTTACTTCTAATAATTAGAAGAGGCAATTTAATCCTTGAGATTTCAGCTCTAAACTGCTGCCTTATCACTTCTTTATCATTCTTGCACACTCAAGCACACTTTTCCATAATCACCCTTCGCGCCACAAACTCACACGATCCAACTTTTGCGCGCAAAAGACTTCCGCGGACTCGCGATGGTGTTCCAGCGACAGTCGATATTGAACTGCACGGAGAGAGAAAATTGCCATGGATGCCTCTTGGCGCTGAAGAAGTTGACCAAGATCGACGTCATCGGGCTGATCGCACGACGTCTTCCCCACCCTGAACAGTCTGAACCAGCCAAATGATCGCGATATTCTCATCGCGCACACAAAAAGCCACTTCGCGCGCTCAATAACTCTGGCAAAACACCAATTCCGGCTAATTGGATTGCCAGATGAAATGATCGATAAGAGTGTGATAAGATTCAATTGTTGGGCAATTGCACGGCCACTTCCTCGTCAGTCGATGCTTTGGCGAGCAAGAAGTGCGCTGAATTGTGTAGATTTCTTCATTCAATCCCTTCAGACTGTCTTACATTCTATTGCATTTACAGCTGTTGTGACTTCTTCGGTCATAAAATCCGGTAAGACATAAACTCCGATCATCTTTATTGATCTGTATCAATTATTGCCAAATATTCAAGACGAAATCCGAGGCGTGAATGAGTGAATTTTTATGTCCTCTTGCGGATTGATTCCTTGGGCTTTCTAAGCTTCTCATTCCGTCTTTCCTGTATTTTCTGCTTCCAAGCCAAGTCAGGAGAAAGCCGGGAAATGAGCCAGAGAAATCCTCCGGTTGTGCTGCGCAGCAAGAGCATGAGATTCGAGAATCGCGGATCACTGGCGCCCATTGAGGATCTCGTGCAGTGTGGCATTTGCTTCGATCGCCTGCAGAATCCCAAAATGCTGGCGTGTCAGCACACATTCTGCCACAACTGCCTCGAGGCGATCTGCAGCGGCGGCAGCAGAAGAGAGTGTCCAACTTGCAGGATGACTTTCACAGCCAATCCCGGCGATCTTCCCACCAATCTCTACATCTGTTCGCTGCTGAAGCTCCTCGGAAATGCCTCCCTATCGCCAGTCACTCAAGTGGTATGGAATTCCCAGTAAAGTGTGCCTCTTCGACTTATCACTGATGGACAATATAATGAGAGTGATAAGAAGCAGGGTGACGCTTTTTGACGCTGATTTCTGTGTGCTTTCTTCAGCAGGAAGATCGCTGCGTGAGGTGCGAAATGGTGCCAAATGCCGCCCATGATTGCTTCAGGGATTGCAGCCACTGTCGCCAGAAGTTCTGCCAGATCTGCTGGACGGCGCACATGGGCGATCTCAGCAATCAGCTCAGCAACCTGGCGGATCAGCTGAAGAGCGCCGAAGAATGTCTAACGCACAAGTTGGATGGCATAAAGGTCAGTTAGACAATGCGCTATTAAAATCTGGCACAGCGAGAGAGAAAGAGAGAATTTGAATGAATCCATTGAATTTTTGATTTTTAGGATCGCATGGAGCAGCTGAGGAGCCACGTGAGTCAGTTCGTGGACAGACAGATCCAGGAACTGCGGAGAAAAGAAGCGCTGGTGCTCGAGAGTGCGGAACAGATGATCGGCGAAGCCACAACCAAAAGCCAGACAATTGTGGATGCAATTGAGAGCACAAAGAGAGATTTGAGTGGGAAAATCCATCAGGAGACGAGCACATACTTTCTCCAGATGCACAAGAGAGTCTCCGGCATCCTTCAAGACGTGTCCAAGTGTGACGACACGCGGATGATGTTCAACGAGGAGGAGTTCAGGATTGAGTTGAACACTCCTGAAGGTGGCGAAGAAACCGAAGAGGATTCGCCAGAGCAGGAAGACAGTAATCCGCTGGAGGACAAGGTCAGCCTGGTGAAGTACATCATGTCGCGGGATCTGAAGGCCAAGCTGTTCTGGGGCAAGTGTCCACGGCCGCTGGGCGTCTTCCTGGCGCCCTGGGTGGATGAGATCATCGGCGAGCAGCTGCTGTACATCGCCGGATCGGACAGCAAGATCATCTTCGCGATTGAGCGCAAGAAGGGACGCATCATCCACAGGATCTTCCACGAGGACATGATCTATCCGCACAGCATCGCTCTGTCCAGTGATTCCCAGGAGATCTTCGTGTCTGACAAGTGGAAGCACTGCATCTTCGTCTTCTCGCGCCACGGCGATTTGCAGCGCGTGATTGGGGCGAAAGGTGATCTCGAGGGATGCTTGAGATCGCCCGAAGGAATCGCTCTCGGTCCTGAAAACACCATCTTCGTGTGCGACACGGGAAATGATCGCGTGCAGTGCCTGAACAGGATCACAGGACAGATGATCCTGCAGTTTGGACAGGTGAAGAAGACACAGATGATTGCTTCTGCGCTCCAGAACACCATCTCCAAGCTGGCCGACCTGCAATCGCCCACAGCACTCGCTCTGCACGGAAGCAACATCGTCGTCCTGGACAGTGGACACTGCAGAGTGAAGATCTTCAACGGATTGGGCGAGAAAGTGAGTGAATTCGGGAAGATGGGCACGCAGAAGGGACAATTCAAGTATCCCGAAGTCCTCACGATCGGACCGCATGGATTCATCTTCCTGGGCGACAGTGGAAATGCCAGAGTTCAGGTAATTTTACTGTAATTTGCTGGCTTTTCAGCAAGACTCATAAAGTGATTCTCTTCAAGATCTTCACCAAGGATGGACGCCTGATCAAAACGATCGGAGGACGAGGATCTTCCCGCCTCTTCAAGTGGGTGTCCGGAATCCACGTCACTCCAGACTTGGAGGTCATCGTGAGTGACTACAAGAACCATTCCGTGCAGATTTTCCAGTGAAAAGTGCAGAATTCTTTTCAGCCGCGCTTTTACCTCTGATTTATCAATTGTATTTATCAAATAAAGCATTTATTTGACTAAAAAGAAGTGTATCTTAGCAAATTCAATAAGAAAACTACACCTTTTTCTCACATGAAAAAATTCATTTCCTGATTTTGGGCGGGAAAATTTGCTCAGCTGTTTTTGACACGCCGTGACGTCAGCGATAAATTGTAAACAAATTGAGGTTTTTGCAGTAAATTCTTCGTCACGCGTTTTCAGTGAGTATTTCGCAACAAAATGAAGAAGAACCAGCGAAAGATGACCAAGGAGTTCCGGAAGATGAAGGTTCGCTGTCCGGACAAGCAAAGCAAGGCGGAAAACTCCGCTGAAACTGCATCAGAACTGCACGAAGATTCGGATGAATCTTCCGCTGGTTCTGGCAGTGATTCCACATCCGAGAGTTCTGGTGGAGAGGATTTGGGCTCTCCGCCCACCTTCAAAGTGGCCATGTGGGATCTAAATCACTGCGATCCCAGGAAGTGTTCCGGACGGAAGCTCGCCAGGCACAGATTGATCAGGAATCTCAAGCTTGGCCAGAGGTTTGTGTCTTCGAGAATCGACAGCAAGAATTGACTTGCGCTAACGTGAGTCTTTCTCAGGTTTCCCGGACTCGTTCTCACGCCCATGGGCACGAAAACCGTGAGTCCGGAGGATCGTGAAATTGTGCAGAACGCCGGAATCGCCGTTGTCGACTGTTCCTGGGCGAAACTCGACCAGACGCCCTTCGGCAAGATGAAGTCTCCGCATCCGCGTCTGCTGCCCTTCTTCGTGGCGGCGAATCCCATCAATTACGGGAAGCCCTGCCAGCTGAGCTGCGTGGAAGCCATCGCGGCCACGATGTTCATCACGGGTTTCAAGGCGGAAGCCAACTGGTACTTGAGCAAATTCAGCTGGGGACACTCCTTCGTCTCCCTGAACGCCGAGCTGCTGGAGAAGTACGAGAAGTGCACAACAGCGGCGGAAATTGTGGCTGCCCAGAATGACTATCTTGAGAATGCGCAGAAAGAACAGGCACAGAAGGCGCCGGATTGGCCAGTTGTGGCATCTTCGGATTCTGAGGAGTGAAAGTGTGTCTTGTTTGCCTGTTTTTACACTTAAATATACATGCAATTATAGTGGAAATCGCGGCTTTTTCTCCTTGGCTAAATATGAGGTTAGGACGTTTTGTTTTGTTTTTGGTCAGGAGGAAAATCCCAGTGCGTGGGAATTTCGCCTTTTCCTGGGCTTTTCACACTGAAAATGTCTGGCAACGAACAATCCAGCACCTTCTCCAGTCAGCTCAGTGATGAAAGAGTTCGAGATAATCTCATGTGGGCGGTAAATTGGCTTTTTTCCAGTCAATCCCGACACTTTCTAACCTCACTCTTCTTCCAGAGTCGTCCCTGCTTCCTGTATAAGCACGAGTTCAGCGATTGCAAGAGCTACAAGGCGCGATTCAATCAGTACTTCATCTACGGCGAGTCCATAGATTGCTCACAGTGGGGAAAGGATTACGAGGATTGCCTGAAGTATGAGGAGAAGGATGATTTGGCTGCCGCTCGGCGACTTCTGGACAGCGAGGCTGAGCGGAGGCAGAAGAGGATGGAGGCTCACAAAGCCAATGATGTGTGGAAGAAGAGATCAACTCCACCAACAGACTGGAACGCTCCACTGCCAGAATGGTTCACGAAGACCAACGAGAACACATTTCTCGCCCTGAAATCCAAGGAACTGCAGGATGGCGTCGAGACACCGGCGAAAGAGAGCTCCTTCTGCTCTGTAATGTAGCCGGGAATGCCGGGAATTGACAAAGACAGCTTTCTAGTGTAACTTCAATGAGGGAATTTAGTGAAAAAGTCGTGAAAATGCAGGAATTTAAGCGTCTTTCTGGATTGACACCAGAGTCTTTCCCGGTCGCTTCGCCTTTGTCGCCCGCTTGCGCGGACTCGCGTCCTGGGAATCAGCGATGCACTCGTCATCGCTGGCGGGTTTGGGCGTGGAAACTATCGCTCTGGGACTCTTCCGCGTGGCGACAGACTTCGGCTTGCGCTGCACATTCACCACAACGTCCGCATCCAGGCTGATGTCCAGCTCCAGATTCACCTTGTACAGCTTCTTCGTCTTCCCCGTGGCCTTGGTGACTTCCGTCTTGGCTTTCGCAGCGTCAATTTTCCTCTTGGGCGACGGCGAAGGCGCAACAGCCGGACTTTTCTCTCTCTTCACGCGTAGCTTCTTCTCCGGCGAGACGGAATCTGAGTCTCTGGGACGCTTGGGAGATCTCTTGGCGGCATTGATGGCCTCCTTCTTGGCCTTCTTCAGCGGCAGCGATACAGCGGCAAACTCCAAGTCGCCCGAATTCGTCTTTCCCAACGTCTTGAGCGCCTTCGCGAACATCTGCCGACACTTGTCATAATCCGGCGCCTCGTCGTGCTTCAGATCTCGCACGTGCTGCAGGAACTCCTCGAGAGGACGCGGATAATCGCCGGCAAAGAGATCCTTGAGTGACTTTCGTACATCCTTCATGAACTTCTCCTTCGCTTCCTGCACTTTTGTCGGCACTTTGAGCGTCTCTGGCGCCTCCCAGGGCAGCTTCGAGGCGCACCACTGCACGAGGTTATAGCCCAGAATCTCCAGGTCTCCGCGCCTGGTCTGGACGCCCAGATGCGCGTCCCGCGACGTGTATTCAATCGTGCCGTTGTGCATCTGCTTCGGGTCCGGCTTGAAGTCCTTCGTGGTGAAGTGCGTGGCCAGACCGAAGTCCACCAGGTACGCCTGGGCGCCGCCGCCCTTGCCGAAGCCCAGCAGGATGTTGGCGCCCTTGAGATCGCCGTGAATGTACGTTGCCTCGTGAATGTACTCCAGAACGTCGATCTGCAGGGGAAGAACGATTGTTTGGTTAGAGTTTCTGTCGCCTTCCGGACACACGGGGACTCACCATCTGGATGGCCAGCCGGTAGACGGTGTGCAGTGGAATCTGGCGGCCGTTGTTGATGAAGATCTTCCAAATATCACTGCCATAGCGCGGCATCACGACGAATCTGTGCTTTTCGCCCTGCAACTCGTGCGATCCTCTGCCCAGGAGATACGGCATGCCGAGATTCTTCAGCTTCCTGGCCTTCTTGAACGCCTCAACTGGAAAACAAGCCTGGTCAGTCACCCCGCCACGCGTGAGCCCCCCAAATTCCCACTCACTGTCGGCAGTCTTGGTGTTCCGGATGTAGAAGTGCATCTCGACGAACAGCGGCCCATTTTCGTACGGTTCAATCTTCAGCACGCTCTGGTAGTCGTCGGTGCTGCGGGGCGCCTTCTCCGCCTCGCAGCAGGAGTAGATGTCCCCGAAGCCGCCGCTGCCGATCGCCGGGCCGACGAGCCAATCCTTCTTCTCCAGATCGCGCAGCACGCTGCCCAGCGTCAGCTTCACCGACTTGCTGTAGCCGTTGGCCTTCTTCCGGGGCCGCGCCGGAGCCTTCGCTTTCCCCTTCGATGCCATTTGCCGGAGCGTCCGTGAAGAACCCTTCGTTATTTCGCGCACTTCCCTGAACAGCCAAACACTGCTGCCAACCATGCAAACCCGACAGCGCCAAAGGGCGAAATGTCGCCAGACGAGCGACGGAAATGTCCAAGAGTGTCTTTGGAGGAGTGGAAAATGACTTTATTGAAGGATTGAAGCAAATTTCCTGCATTTTCTGTTTTGTATTTGAATGAATTGAGTGAAATACCCTGAATTCTTGCTTTCTAAATGCGATTTTCACTTCGATTCAGCTTCATTTTTTCTCAGTACATCTGCAGACTAATTCATATCCCAGCCACTCGTGGCGCTGCACGAGCAAACATTCCAGAAAATAAACAAATGTTTTTTCAGGCTAAAACAAGTGCATTTCTGCGAAAATCACTTATAAACGCTCGTATAATATTCCTCCTCGAGGTCATAGAGATCAGCCGCCATGTCGTCTCGCAGGTTCATCAGCTTCTTGTCGCAATCCGCTTGTGTGGAGCGATAGAATTGGGAATTTGTGGTGATCGCCTCGTTGACTGAGTGGAAATCATTAAGAATCAAATACTGCTTGATATCCGAGACCAATTTCATGAGACTCTCGCCCGCGCGCACTGAAACAGAGCCAAAAAAGCACAGAGAGAAATGAGTCATTCTTATGATGCAATTTTCTCTGTTAATCACCAATATTTGCCGCCCGGACTTGCATCTCATATGTGTCCTGCTCGCATTGGGTGATCTTCGAGAGTTGACTATCATTTTCACCCTTGGCAAGCTTCAGTATCTCTGCAAAATGTTTACATGAGTGTGTTTTGAGCGTGTTTGTTTACATTTGCGCCACGCGCCAACCTTCAAAGTTCTCCTGCATGCTCTTCACGTCATCCTTCAGGCGCGTGTTGTAGGACTTCAGCAGGGCCTCCTTGGAGTTCGGCAGGTTGCGCTGCGTGCCCATGACCCCAAATGTGCCCCGTGTGATGCAACAGCGGTGAAAATTTCAGGGCCGGAGAAGCGATGTTGTGTGAACTTTCACAATTTCACCCAAATGTGACGCGATATATCGGTGAATGTCAGTGTAGTTCCAGACACACACCCATGTGGCGCTGTGTCGGCCAAATTCGCGTGGACCAATCAAATGCACACAACAATTCTGACGTCGACCAATGAAATAAATCCACGCTTTGATATCAGCGCCTCAAATTGAGGTGCGAACAGTAGAGGAACGTTAGTTTTTCAGTGAACATTGCGAAGAGTGGAAGGAATTTGTTGCAATTATTTGCCAGTTTCGGTGTGAATTCTGTGAATTTCCTGTGCAAACGCTGTGCGTAGACACTCTTGGACATCCCCTTGTGGATTAATTGTGGTGAAATTGTTGAAAATCCGCTGATTATTCGCTTGAAAAGCGAGGTAAGTTTTTTTTTGGGGTGTTGCAATGTGGCCGGCATTCTTGGGTTTTCCCATGAAATTCGGGTTTTTCACGCAAAATACGCCTCTTCCTGGCTGTGAGAGTCCTTTTGGGGTGTCTTGGGGGCCCAATGGGGCGTGCTGTGTGGGTGGAAAGGGGGTAATTTGGGGGCAAAGTGATGAGAACGTTCCAGACTACGTCATCAAAAAAAAGTGGTGGCGAAAATGAGGCCAACGTGTCGCATTGAGAGTGCGAAATTCCCAAGAATTCAGAAGATTCTCAGAATTCATTCACTTTTCTCCATTTTGCGGGCTGAAACGATCATTTGGGTGGCAAATTCTCGGGATTTCCCCGCCCGCGAAGTGCCTGGAAAGTGGCTGGAAAGCGCGGGCAGGTGGTCAGAGGAGGCTCTGGAATGCGCACGAGAGCCAGGAAGTGAAGATATAACGGTGAAATTAACCGCTTCGTCATCAGAATTGCTCGTCACGTCTCGTGACCTATTTTTGCACTCCACTGACTTTTCCCCCCTCTTTTCCCGCCCTTCCAGGCTGTGCAGAAGACGAGCTGAAGATGAGAATACTGCGATTGCTGGCCGTGGTGGCCTTCGTCGGCCTGGCGCTGGCGGAGGACAAGAAGGAGAAGGACAAGGACATCGGAACCGTCGTGGGCATTGACTTGGGCACAACGTATTCATGGTGAGTTTTCCAGCCTCTTTTCCTTCTTCTCTCTGTGTTTGTGTCCATAGAACGACTAGAACTGTCAAGGCAAGAAAATGCGTGGCCGTCTCAAGATTGGACTACATTGAAGGCGTATTTCTATTCCATGGCGACTCTTTTGCACTTCCGTTGAATTGTCGTAAATTTAAGAGAAATATACAAAACGCCCACGATTTTACACTAAAGTTTTCCTATTTTTTGGGTGTAAATTTGACAAGTGTTTTTTCCACGCCTACCAAGATTTTCCCGCGATCTTGACGTGGAAAATTGACAACATAACCTCTAAAATGAGAGTTTTTGCCTTTTCAGGGGGGAATTGAGGAAAATAACCAACATTTGAGGGTGAATTTGTGTTAAAAGAGTACAAAAAAAACACCTTTCAATAGTAATAATGGTTATTTTGTGAATTCTTCACTTGATTTCATACGTTATTTATTGAAAAATTGACTGAAATATTGCTTAATTAATAGTTAAATTGAAAATATTGGTTTCTATCAGTCGATTTTAGAACATTTTAAAAGAATTCAATTGATTTCAATTCACTTCATTTCAATTTTGTGGATTTTCTGTAAAATTGGGAGACTTTTAGTGGAATTTCGTTGCGGGAAATTCTCTGTTTGTCTGCTGAAACTGCTTTACTAACCATTTCTCTCGCTCTCTTTCTCGCTCTAGTGTTGGCGTTTACAAGAACGGTCGCGTGGAGATCATCGCCAATGACCAGGGAAATCGCATCACGCCGTCTTATGTGGCTTTCACGGCTGAAGGTGAGCGTCTGATTGGCGACGCGGCCAAGAATCAGCTGACGACGAATCCTGAGAACACTGTGTTCGACGCCAAGCGTCTGATTGGGCGTGAGTGGAGTGACACGACGGTGCAGCACGACGTGAAGTTCTTCCCCTTCAAGGTGATCGAGAAGAACAGCAAGCCGCACATTCAGGTGGCCACGGGATCGGGCAGCAAAGTGTTCGCGCCGGAGGAGATCAGCGCCATGGTGTTGGGCAAGATGAAGGAGACGGCTGAGGCGTATCTGGGCAAGAAGGTCACGCACGCCGTGGTCACAGTGCCGGCATACTTCAATGACGCTCAGCGTCAGGCGACGAAGGACGCTGGCGTGATTGCCGGGCTGAATGTGATGAGAATCATCAATGAACCCACGGCGGCGGCAATTGCTTATGGGCTGGACAAGAAGGATGGCGAGAAGAATGTGCTGGTGTTCGATTTGGGCGGCGGAACCTTCGATGTCTCCCTGCTGACCATCGACAATGGTGTGTTTGAAGTAGTGGCGACGAATGGTGACACGCATTTGGGTGGCGAAGACTTTGATCAGCGCGTCATGGATCACTTCATCAAGCTGTACAAGAAGAAGAAGGGCAAGGACATCCGCAAGGACAATCGCGCCGTGCAGAAGCTGCGTCGTGAGGTGGAGAAGGCAAAGCGTGCACTGTCGGGAAGTCATCAAGTGAGAATTGAGATTGAATCGTTCTTCGAGGGTGAAGATTTCTCTGAGACGCTGACGCGTGCGAAGTTTGAGGAGTTGAACATGGATTTGTTCAGATCGACAATGAAGCCGGTGCAGAAGGTGTTGGACGATTCGGACATGAGCAAGAAGGATGTGGATGAGATTGTGCTGGTCGGAGGATCGACGCGCATCCCGAAGGTGCAGCAGCTGGTGAAGGAGTACTTTGGTGGCAAGGAACCGTCGCGTGGCATCAATCCCGATGAGGCTGTGGCTTATGGCGCTGCCGTGCAGGCTGGCGTGCTGTCTGGTGAGCAAGACACCGATGCCATTGTCCTGCTGGACGTGAATCCACTCACGATGGGCATTGAGACTGTTGGTGGCGTGATGACGAAGTTGATTCCGCGCAACACAGTGATTCCCACGAAGAAATCGCAGATCTTCTCCACGGCGTCCGATAATCAGCACACAGTGACGATTCAGGTGTACGAAGGCGAGCGTCCCATGACGAAGGACAATCACTTGCTGGGCAAATTCGATCTCACGGGCATTCCGCCGGCGCCGCGTGGCATTCCGCAGATTGAGGTGTCCTTTGAGATTGACGCCAACGGCATTCTGCAGGTCACGGCGGAGGACAAGGGCACGGGCAATTCGGAGAAGATTGTCATCACGAATGATCAGAATCGTCTGACGCCGGAGGACATTGAGAGGATGATCAAGGATGCGGAGAAGTTTGCCGATGAGGATAAGAAGCTGAAGGAGCGCGTTGAGGCGCGAAATGAGCTGGAAAGCTACGCGTACAGTTTGAAGAATCAACTGGGCGACAAGGAGAAGCTGGGCGCCAAGGTGTCGGAGGAGGAGAAGAGCACGATGGAGGAGGCGATTGATGCCAAGATCAAGTGGCTGGAGGACAATCAGGATGCGGATTCGGAGGAGTTCCGCAAGCAGAAGAAGGAACTTGAGGATGTCGTGCAGCCAATCATTGCGAAACTCTATCAAGGACAGGGCGGCGTTCCGCCCACGGACGGCGGAGATGAGGATGATCTCAAGGATGAACTGTAGGCATAAAGAGAGGGAGTTATAAGGATTTAACAACTAATTTAGGGAGAGAAAAGCTGAGTGAAAACATGAGGTAATTTATAATGTCCAAAAGTAGGAGAATTTCGCGGATATAAAATTGATCACAGCTATTATTTATTGTAAAAAAACAGAATATCTCTTTGAAATTTTTAATTCACCGTCAAGTTCAGTGTTTTCACAGGAGTGTCCTGGATGAAGGACATTCAGGAGGAAACTCAGATACAATTTCCGTTGGTATTTTCTTTCAAACACACCTGAAGAAGAAAAGAAAAAGAACAGATAGAAAAGGAGGAAATATAAGTTAATTGACTGATTGTGTGCGTGTGATTTATTAAGATTATGTAGCGAATGTATGAAGAGAATTTTATAAATAAAATAGAGAAAACTTAAATGGAATTTTTCCCTCCATGAGAAGTGGAAGCATGGCAAATGTCACCAACTCTGGTCTGGACAATTGAGTGTCTTCGCGACTGGAAGCTTTTTGGCGGTGAAATTTCCACTCTGTGAAAGTGTTTCAAGAGAATTTCAATGTAATTAAAGTGCAAGTTTTGAAGGAAATTTCATAATTTATATTTAATGAAAAAGTGCTGAGGAAAATTGATGAATTTGTATCATTAAAATTCCACTAGAGAAAATGTTGAAGGATTCTTCACTGGATAAGAGAGAATCGATGTGATTTAGCGAGTCACTTTGGTGACATCACAAGTTCTTCAGCGTGCGACAAGGGGGAGATATTGTGGCACGAATTATTTAATTGATCAATGAGGTTAAACATAACCTCAAAAATATATGTTGAGAAGCTTCAGAGTCAATTTCAGAGCTTAAAAATCACTGTTTTCTGTATATTTCGAGTCAATTATAGATTATTATATCTTAATTTTCCATATAAAAGGCTTTCAAAGGGATAAATAAGGATTCCTATACATTTGTTTGAGGTTATGTTTGGAAAATATACGACAAAGAATGATTTTAACCACTTAAACCTGATTTTTATGATAATTTGAGACTGAATTATGCTCAAACACTTCATAAAATAACCAAATTCAGCACATTTGTAGTAGAATTTCATGGAATTTCTTTTTTTTAACCTCATTTTAGGAGAAAAATAGTTAAAATCGACAATCTAAGCACTAATTAGTCCACATAAGTTCTATTTTTCCCTTGAAATTGTGTTCAAACAGAGAATTAGAACGCAATTCGTGTCAATTCAATGCAAATACAAGCAATTTGGAAAACTCAATTGAAAAAGGATTATTAAGGATATATTTATAATGATTTGTTTGAGGTTATGGCTGAAAAAGCAACTATATGCAATAAATTTGTGGAAATGGAAGAATATTCCTGTCTTTGGGCGCATTATCTCCCCCTTGGCGTGTAATTTCGAAGGCAGGACACACACAGGATGTTCAAGCTCACGCGCAATTCATGCAGTTTGTCCGGCTGTGGAAATTTGCTCCTTCTGCAGCTGAAAGACACACATTTTCCCACTCGTGCCGGAAAATCCAGATAATGAACAAATCGTGTGTCTCCTGAGGAAAAGGGAGCCGAAGGATGAAGTGCGTCATTCGCTGTGTCATCTTGGCCGATTCTCTTTGAGTATGCCTCGCGGCGACAGTGAAAATTCCCAGAGCCTTTTGAAAGCTCGCGCGCCGCGGCTTTAGTTTTTGGTGGAGAAAAAGTTTTTGGCGGTTCATCTTGGGCGAAGAAAGAGGAGAAATTTATTTTCTCCTCTCCAAATTAGTCGATTCAATTAAAATTTGCCACCCTCAAGGATATGTCAAGGGAAAAGTTTGCGCAAAGTGAGCTTTTGTGGCACACTCACTTCCGCCTCGTCCTTTTTATTCTTCCTTCTTCTTCACCATGTGGGAAAAGTATGTGTCGCCTATTTTTGGGCGGGAGAATTTAATATTTTTCGTCTCTTTTTCCTTGGAAGAAAAATAATTTTGTCGTAAACAATTCAGTGAAAATATTTCGCCAAGTGAGGAGGAGGCGGAAAAGCGCACACACACAATGTGTAATATATAATATTGGAAAAGTTTTCAAATTACTGAAATTTTTGTACTTTTATAGGGTGAAGTACATATGTATATTTGGCACAAAAGACTCTCTCTCTCCCGACGAATGGAGATTGTGTGGCATTCGCTTTGGCATCGATTGCACTAAACGCTGCTCTCCAGTGAGGAATGCTTCTGAAGAACACTGAGCAAAAAGCTCCCCAAACTAACCTCACCGCACATTTCATTGCGCCCCAAACGAGGAAAACCGAAAGCGTCTCGCCGAGATTCAATGGACAATTGCAATTTTGAATTTCACCCATTTTTTTCGCCCATCTCTTGAGGAAGTTTCCGCATTTTATGAGCTTTTATCCTTGGTTGAATGTGGAAAATGATGGATATTTTTCCAATTACGCTCAATGACTTTGTTTTGAGCACTGCGACTTCGCCAAAACTTGTACTTCCGCCAAGGGGGAGATAATATAGTCAGAAGTGGTGTACAGATTAGCAGAAGTCTTGAGAAATGATTAAAGATTTATTATTCCCATTAAATTAGCGTGATTCTTCGTAATTCTTTAAATTTATATTGATTTTTACACTGGAAACAATCATACTAATTTTTTCTAGGTTATGAACTCTGTTTAGAGACAGATTTAGTGATGAATTTGTATTTTAAAACATATATTTTTATACAAAAATCAAAAAGATTGCTTGTTTTTGGCAGATTCAAGTGATTTCTAAGCAAATAAATCAGTATTTTGGACTTTTGAAGTTAAGAAACCTAAGAAACAGTGAAAATTGTGCTCTAAGGTCTGACATAACCTCAAAAATGACTGTTTTGACGAGATTCCGATCGTTTTAAGCTTGGATTTGAATGATTTTCAGCTGTTTTGAGTTCATTTGAAGGTTGTAGCAACTGATTTTGTCCTGTAAAAGTCCACAACTGAGTTGTTATTTTGAGGTTATGATCGAATAAGAGAGATTTTCAGCGAATTCTTGCAGAAATACCGAATAGACACCTTAATTACTCATTATAACACAAAGATTAATTAGTGTCGATTGAGATATTAGCGTCTTATCACACTTTCTTCTTTTTTTCTTTGAAGTTATCGACAAATGAGTTGTCGACAATGAATTTAAATCAAGTTAACCAAGTCTGAGGTTTAATTAATCCAATATTAGTCGTATTTCTCCCCTAAAATTGTGTTAAGAAAGGAAATTGCACGCAATTCGTGTCGATAACTTCAATCGCTGCAATGTCGTGTGATAACTCCCTTACATTATCTCCCCCTTGATCTATTTGTAGCACAATTTGAGAACAACAATCTTGCTGAATAGTTTAAATGGCAATTTCAATTCAATAACAAATGGATAAATTTTTTAATTGGTCTCTTCTTGACAGTGTCAATTGAAGGAGTAAAAACGGAAATTTCTCGTGATTCGCATTGTGAATAGTTTATTCGATGTGCAATTTTATTGAGGGTGGCGGCAAAAAAAATGGCAAACAAGCAGAAACTGAAGATGAAGTTCGTCCAGTTTTACAGAATCAGCAATTAGTGATTTTGCTGCTGAGTTTCCGCATTTTCCCGGTGTGGAAAATGACGACACTCGCTCGCCTTGTCAACTCACACAACTGGCGAGCTTTGCGGACGGAAAGTGTATACCATAATTCAATATCGGAATTAGTGATGCAACCCAGAAAGCACAAAACAATTTACATAATTGAAAAACTCCGGGTCACAATAATAAACTAATTAATTAAATTGTACACTCTCTCGTCCGTGGCTCGTCGCATTTTGGCTCATGCGACAAGAGTTTTAGTGCGCCTGTGAATACCGAAAGCTGCAAACCATGAAGTCCATGAGGTCCTTTCTCAGGCGCTCGTCGCAAGTTTTTGCACTTATCGTGGAGATTTTCTTCTTCCTCCTCGCGCGCCTCGTGGGAATTCTGCCCATCACACTGGACGCGCAGGAGGGAAAAGTCCGCATGAGTGTCCTTTTGGTGCTCTACTCGCTCGCGCTCGCCGTCGTGATCACGATCACGGTGCCCGTGAGCATCGTGGTGCTGCTGCAGATGATGAATGTCTTCGACGACACCATGATGCTCGTCGTGTCCATCATCGAGTACTTCATGGCTTACGGCGTGGCCGTCGTGGTGCTTTTCACCAACATCTACATGGCGAGTCGCATGGCAAGAGTGGTGAACATCGGCTTTCCCATGTACAAGAGTCTGCCGCAGGTAAACCTCTTCGCCTCCTTTAGGCCCAGATTGCACAGTTCAGAGCCACAAAGTGATGAATTCGACGATTCAGACGCTAAATTGCATGTCAAACTAAAGGCTTTCGTGCTTTTGGTCTTTAGTAATTAAGCTCCTGCCTTGTGATTGTTTAAACCATTTCCAACTCAAAAAAACTGCCCAAAAGTGTCATTTGTGAAACAAGTAAAAACTAACGATATAATAAGTGGCAAAAGTTGCAGGAAAAATTCTAATTTAATGACAAATCCGTTATAGCAGAAGAAAACTGAGCTCATTTGCGCAAAAAAGAAGATTTTGAGCTGTTTCAAGGCTAAAAGCTTCCAAAAAATTCCAGAAAAAAATCAGATTGGAGATATTCAAATGCCATTTGGTGCGAAAAAATTAATTGCAGACCTAAGATTTTCCTCCTAAACTGTGAAAATGGCGTCCAAAAAGGCTTTTCTAAGTCCTCAAAACTCAATTGAAAACTGAACTTAATGTTTTCTTTAGATAATCAGGTTGAATTTATCAGTTTAAAGGAAAAATCGCGGAAATAACTAAATAGAGAAACATTTTTCTAAACGGAAATTATATTATTTGAGGTTATGATTGATTTTAGGGATTTTTCTCAATCAATTTGAAGTTTTTTTGAACGCAAATGCTCAATTCTGCCGAGAGAAATAAAAATATTCCTAGATTAAACACAAATTATATGATTTTGAGGGTTATTTTATCACCAGAATTTCTTTAAAATCAATAACATAACCTAGAAATAGCAATGAAATTGATTTTCCTAGGCAAAATCACATAGAAAATGCATTATTTTGTTGAAACAGAAGCTTTTGCAATGCAGATATTCTAAATATTTTAACACTTTCAATTCCTAACACTTCCACAAAAGCTGTACACCACTTCTGACCACAATATCTGCCCCTTGACTTTAAGTGGTGATAATTCCGTAAGAATAATTGAGCCTAAAATGTCTTTTCAATTCTCACAGAATTTATTATTCAAATTGAATATTTTTACCTTAAAACAACTTTCTGGAATACTGAGAAATTCTTTGAAAAATAAATCTAGATCAACGGTCATATATATATTTGATAAATAAAGGAGATTTGGTACATACGATGTGCACATCAAAAAGCATTGTGGAAGGATA